GAAAGTTGAGGCAGGAGGATAGTGAGTTTGAGGTCAGCTGGGCTACATACTGAGACCCTGTCTCAAAAACAACCAACCAAACAAAACCAGGCTCTGACAGGTTGTCCTTTGCTTGTTTCATTCAAGTGTTAGGCATCCCAGCCCCCAAGAGTCCTAAGTAATCTCATGCTTTTGGATTAGCAAAAGTTTAGGATAGAGTCTCTTTTTCTAAGAAAGTGTTTATTCATTATGCCAAGAATTCATTTGCAAATTCAGATTCTGACACAACCTGATTCATTCCAAACATACCGAGACAGCAAAATAAATACAGAGAAAACAAGTAACAACAAAAGAGATACGTTGGCTAAAAGACAGGATTAAGTTTCTCTGTGGATCAGAAAGGGAGTACGAACACAAAATTGTATTCGGGTTCAAGCAGCCACCTGCTGTGCTCCAGGATGGCAAGTGGGCACTGAGGGCTGGGAGTTCAATTTTTCTACCATAATAGGAACTAAAAGTGCTTCATGTGAGACCAGCACCAAAATCTAGGCATAGAGTTTAAAACAGGAGTCAGGGTGGGACTGCTTCCAGGCAAGGACCTCCCTCTGAGCTGCTGAGTGGACTGTTGACAACATCTGTACTGTCATGAATGTCAGCCCCAGGACATTAGACTGTCCTGATTCTTGGATGAACTTCAGGTGGGAGGCATGGGTAAAGCTACTTAAAAATCTTCTTGATTTTAAGAAGTAAGGATGAAGGAGGGAAACAGGTCACGCTAAGAGGAGGTCACTAACGGGAGAGGTAGGGTAAAGGACAAGTTAAGAAGGTGAATATGGTTGATGTACTTTCTGTACAAGAATGAATATAGAATTTTTAAACCTGTTGAAATCACCATACGAAAGTAGAAAGGAGAAAAATAGAGGTTATGAACCAATTTGGGTTATAATACATATATAAATGGAAATGTCACAATGAAACTCCATGTATAGGCATCTTTTTTAAAAATTAGGGTATATTTAGGGCTGGCAGAATGGCTCAGGTGGTAGAGTGCCTGCCTAGCAAGCATGAGGTCCTGAGTTCAAACACTAGTACTGCCAATAAATAGTAAAATAAAAGTGAGGTTTAAAAAAATTAGGATATATTCATTGTACAGGGGGGGGGATTCACTGTGACAATTCCAAATAATAGGCTTATATTTTACATTGGTGAGATCACCCCCACTGTCTCCCTCTTGACCCCTCCCCGCCCCACTTAAAGATTTGCCAGAGGTTTCTTTGTTCTATTTCATATAAGTATATGAAGTCCATCCACCATATTCCCTCAGCTTAATCTACCTCATTTACACTCTCCTTCCCATAAGTTTCCCCCCACACACTGTACCTATTTACCGTCCTGTCTTTCATTATTAATATTTAAGTCAATGTTGCAAGGGATTTCTCAGTGTGTCCCCACTGTGAGTCTACTTGACTTTGGTCCATTCAACCCTTTCCCTGTATAGCTATCTTAAACAAACAAAAATGTCTTTTCAAAAATGGAGAACAGGAAGGTGAAACAGGTCCTGTCTGGGGGTTGGTACCAGTGGAAGTGGGGAGGATAGAAGGAAAAGGTGTAGGTAGGTGAATGTGGTGGGAATACTATGTACTCATGTATTAAAATGGAACAAAGAGACCTGTTGAAACTATTCCAGGAATGGGGGGAAGGGAGATTAAGGAGAATGATGGAGGGATGAATTTAATTATGTTATATTGTAAGATCTTTTTGTAAATGTCACAATGTACCTCCAGTACAACAATAAAAACAAAAAAAGGGATGGAGGAGGAGATGGTAGAAGTAAGGAAAAGGAGTAAAAACTCAAAGTTGAAGTCTGTCATTCACAAGGAGTGTAGGACCTACATTCCAAAGTATACGGATAAAACAAATGCTAAGAAAGACAGCAGCTCTGCAAGTGTGGAGCCCTGAGTTCAAAACCCCAGTCTCACCAAAAAAAACCAAGCCCCATGAAAATACAAGTAAATAAATAAATAAAAAGAAAGAGAGCAAGGGCTGGGCTGTAGCCCAGAGGTACAGTGCTTGCCTAGTTTGTGTAAGGACCAGGGTTTGATTCCCAGCACTGCAAAAACAAAAGACAAACAACTGGAGCCAGACAATTAGAACATGAATTTACTTGAGATGATATGAATTTCTTAGTTTGTTTAATTATTTTTATTATTTTCACAGTATCTTTAAGAAGCTGAAAAATAAATGAAGGCAGCAAGGCCAGCCCTGGCAAATAGTTAGAGAGACCCTCTCTCGAAAATACCCAACACAAAAAAGTGCTGGCAGAGTGGCTCAAGTGGTAGAGCACTGGCCTAGCAAGTGTGAGACTCTGAATTCAAGCCCCAGTGCCACCAAAATAAATAAAAAAATAAACAAACAAATAAGACATAATATCTACAAAATATTAAAATATGACACAAACACAGAGACATGAAATAAAAATAAATGGATATGCTCAAACACAATTAGAAATCTCAAAAATAAAATACACAGTCACTTAAAAACAACAACAACATAAAAAAAAGAAAAAAAAAAAAACAACAACAAAGCCAGGCTCCAATGGCTCACGCCTATAATCCTAGCTACTCAGGAGGCAGAGATCAGGAGGATCTGGTTCAAAGCCAGCCCGGGCAAAATAGTTCACAAGACCCTATCTTGAAAAAACCTTCACAAAAATAGGGCTGGTGGAGTGGCTCAAGGTACTGAGTTCAAGTCCCAGTACCACAAAACAACAACAACAATGAAAACTAAGTGGGCTACTCAACTCAGAGAAACTAAAACAGATACCTTAAAAGCAACTGAGGCCAATAGGAAAAGGGGGACCAGGAACTAGAGAAAAGGTTAGATCAAAAAGAATTAATCTAGAAGGTAACACCCACACACAGGAAATCAATGTGAGTCAATGCCCTGTATAGCTATCCTTATCTCAACCAGCAAAAACCCTTGTTCCTTCCTATTAATGCTTATACTCTCTCTACAACAAAATTAGAAATAAGGGCAAAATAGTTTCTGCTGGGTATTGGGGGGGGGAGAGAGAGGGGCGGAGTGGGTGGTAAGGGAGGGGGTGGGGACAGGGGAAAAAAATGACCCAAGCATTGTATGCACATATGAATAATAAAACAATAAAAAATAAAAAAAAACCTAAGTGAGCTAAACTTGAGTAAACGCCGTGAACGAATTAGGGGTAGAGCGCTGAAGAATAATCCCGGTAAAAATCCTAGCGAGTCAGAGAAATAAAAATATAAAAGAGCAGATAGGAGCTACAAAGGGCAGATCAGTCTAAATTACATTTAATAGGAATTCCAGAAAAGGAGATTGGAGGAAAGGGTGGAGAAGCAATATTTGAAGATCTAATCAGCACATAATTTCCAATTTTCAAAAAGACATTCTGATTTATTGGATCCCTATACTTTCACTCATTCACTCAATACTTATGGCACTTACTGTGTGCTACACTCTAACCTAGTGGAGGGGAACAACATGAATGTGGTATAGTCCTTGCTGTTGCATGAGAGACTCAATATTAGTAGGAGAGATGAACATGCTTAATTAAAATGTCAGGTGAACGTGCTTTGATTAAACACTGAATGACAGAATCAAGGAGGAGGGAGAAGACTGCTGGGAGGACTAAGAGAAACTCAGCAGAGGAGATGATGTCAAACTGAGTCTCAGAGTCCCCTGGTGTTGTCTAGAGGAAGGGGAAACAGTGTCCTCGGAGCATGAAAAACTGTGGTCTGTTAGATAGCTGCCGAGTGGTTCTGGATAGCTCTCGGTGGTTCTTGGTTCTAGAATACACAGAAGAAGAGTTAGGACTGAAGTGCAAGGGATTGGGTCACTTTTGAAAATGGAAAGCATTTACTGGAAGTCCTTTGAGGTGCTGTAAGTAAATGCAGGCTCATAAATGTGATGACTCAGGACCATAAAGAGAGGCCCTTTTCCAAAGGAAATTCAAGGCACTGCCAATCAGCACCCAAAGGACTTTAAAAAATGAAACAGCTGGCTATAAATTTTCATAGAAGGGCTAAAAATACACAGGACAATTTTGAAAAGCAGAAGAGGAATGCACCCTACCAGTCATGAATATTCATCGAGAGGGCTGGAGGCGTGGTTCAAGGGGTAGTGCCCCTGCCTAGGCCCCGTGTTCAAATCCCAGTACCACCAAAACATTAACATTCATCTAGAAAGTTTTATCAACTGAAATATGACAGAAATATTTATTCTTACATGTTGAAAACAGTTCATTGTGGTCATCTTTTTGTGGCAAGGCATGGAAGAAATAAGCAAATCTGAACTTTAGATTACAGGAATCTGTAATCTAAATATTACAGGAATATTTGGAACACAGGTCAACAGACTTTGAAATTTAGCTGTGTTGGAGATAGGCAGGTTGGCAGGAAGCAAGGGAAGAGAAGAGTCAAGGATGACTTTCAGGTGCCACCAGGTAAGGGTTGGATGGTGGGCCCAATTGATTTCATAATTGCTGTGACAGACAAGTAGATATCTGGCAAACAGGAATAGAGCTTGGGAGAGTTTGAGGCAGGAGTCTTGGGAGTTTCTTTTTTTTTTTTTTTGTTCATATGATAGTTTTATTTATTCCTTTATAATTCTTTTTTTATTGTTTTATTATTCATATGTGCATACAAGGCTTGGGTCATTTCTCCCCCCTGCCCCCACCCCCTCCCTTACCACCTACTCCGCCCCCAGGAGTTTCTTAAATGATGGTAATGCACGGCTTTCCTAATGAAAGGCCACAGGTGAGAAGGAAGGTGGAGTAGGTGACACGATTGCCTGTATCCCGGCCTTGTAGGATGAGGCAACGGAAAGCCGAGAGTTAATAGAGGGTGGTGATGCTGGGAAGGGCTGAGCATGAGGTTGGGAGCTAAAGGAAGCTCCAAAGGTCTGAAAGAGGAAGAGCAGGACAAAGCAGGAAGGAAAACTTGTCACTTTGCCATCTGCATATGCAAAACCCCAGGCGCCCCTCTCACCTTTGCATTCACCGCAAGTTGGATGGCACCTCTCACAGGTCCGAGTGCGTTGCTCTGCGTGGTAATGGTCTGGGCAGGTGCGGTAACACTGTCCCTTGGAGCGGAGTAGGAAGAAAAACTTATCACAAGACAGGCAGTCTGTGGGCCGCGGGCCCCGGCAGGCCTTGCAGCTCTTGTCGCACTTCTTACACTGGCCACTGGAGTTTTCTGCATAATATCTGAAACCAAGGTGGAGCGAAGATGGAATAAGAGTCAAGCCTCAGGATCGGCAGGGTGTTGGTTCCAGGACCCACTGTGACCCAACTCCATGGGGGCTCAAGTGCTTTAAACACTTGCACATAACAATATTTGCACAGAACCTACGCACGTTCTCCCCTCTACTTTAAATCAATTCTAGATTACTTTCTTTTTTGGGGGTACTGGGGTTTGAACTCAGGGCCTCACACTTGTGAGGTAGGTGCTCTACCACTTGAGCCACTCAAGATGACTTATAATGCAGTGTAATGCTATGTAAATAGTTGTCATAGTATATTGTTCTGGGAATAATGGCAAAGAAAAAAAATCTGCTCGTGTTCACTACAGGTGTATTTTTTTCTGAATATTTCCAATCCTTGATCGCGGGCAGAATCCAAGAATGTGGGGGCTGACTACATAAGCTTTGCTCATAAATTGAGTATGATATAAAGAAAATGGTTGGTAAGGCAGGATCGCTTTACAAGCTGGATGACTCTAACTTCCATATTTAAGCCTACTCATTAAATTCATTACCAGGATGGTAATGAGTCTAAAATTTCTCAGTTTTCTTATCTATACAATGGGAACCACAACCCCTCCTTTGCTATTTATAAGACTTGACAGTCATCAAATGTAGTAGCTACTCCATAATTGCTCACAACCAGTGCCTTTTTCTTCCATTTGCTTCTCCAAATTTAAGCTTTAAGCTGTTTTGAGTGGGCCCCAGGAATGGGAGACATTTTTAGGATTTTTTTTTTTTTTTTTTGAGAGAGGGTCTTACTGTGTAGTCAGGTTGTCCTTGAAGTCTCTATGTAGCCCAGGCTGACCTGGAACTCTTGATCTTTCTGTCTCAGCTTTCTGAGTGTTGAGATTTCACGCATGTGACACCTCATTTGGCTTGCAAGGCATTTTTAAATGTACCTCTGAGTGGCTCAACTTAAAAACTTGCAATTCCAAGGCAAAGAGATTTAACATACGAGGCTTATGCAGTGCAAGTGGATCACTGATTTTACAAAAGGAACCACTCTCCATGTATTTTAGTACTTCATTTTTCCCATTAGGGAGCTTGGTGGCAACCCCTGCCTCTTCCCCTTCCCTTGGGTAACTCCACACTGTGGGCAATTATCTTCTTAATTCTATGCCTGAATTCCATTTAGACCACAGGATTACACCCTTTTTTGTAATGGAGAGTATTTATGACTTGATTTGAGGTAGATGGAGATTCTGTACATGGGATGCAGATCTTTTCAGACACTGAATGGAGTGAAGCCAAGTGTTAACTCAGGAGGCCGTTGCTCACTCTTGTCTAGCCAGATCCTTTCTTCATTGATCTGTACACCTGGTGTTTTTCAAGAGTTGCTAATGTGTGTGACTCTGTGCCAAGTGTTACAGCAGCATATGTGAAAAACAAGAGGCATTTTTCTTGAGAAGACATATAGCAATAAGAGTAAGCTCTTGAAGGTCCAAATATTCATCTTACCTCAACTTATTCAAATATACAGGGTGATCTTAATTAAACATGTGCTAAATACATGAGTGAATAAACAAATGAGATGGATAAAAATGCGACTTAGTGTATGGTGCTAAAATGGCACTAACAAGTGGAAATTATTATAGGACAGAAGAGAAGAGATTTGCCAATTTGAATGAAAGCATTTAGGGTAGGTCCAGGATTATGGTCCTTCACTTTGGGTCTGGAACCTCTCAGGGTCCTTTCCTAGGTTACTGATTTGGAAGAAAGCCAGCAATGTGTCTGTAATCAAGTTTTCTCTTTTTTGGGACCATCATGGGGAATAAAGGGATGATCTAGTCAAGCTCTCTTCCTAATATGCTGGGAACAACATAGTCTCATAAACCACTAATGGTTCTTCCCAGAAGAAAAATACTAGCATTCCTCAATTGAAGGACATCATGTCAAGTGAAGTAGGCCAGGTTCAGAAAGATAAAGGACACTTGTTTACTCTCAGATGTGGAAGATAGATCCAAAAGATAAACATATACACTCATGTGTAGAATGTGTTTGTAATAGTGGAAGCACTCTATGGAACCTGGGGAAGGAGGGAAAAGAAAACAGAATAGTAGAGCACCAGTCATATCACATAACATAAGATGTAAAGGTAGAAGGTATAGTGATATGTATTGAAAACTGGTGAAAAATGGAGGGTGGGAGAAAGGGGTAAGGGAGAGTACTGGAAGGGGTTGAATGGAACAAAGTAAAGTAGACTCACAGTGGGGACACATGGAGAAACCCCTTTGAACATTGACTTTGGGATTAATAACAAAAGAAAGGACTGTAAAATAAGTACAGTGTGTGTGGGGGCGCACGTGAGAGGGGATGGGTGAATGAAGGAGATGAAGGTGAGATTATTGGTGACGGACTTCATAATTCTTATACAAAATAGAACAAAGAAACCTCTTGCAACTGCCTTAAGTGGGGTGGGGAGGAGGTCGAGGGGGAGATATTGGGGGCAATCTAACCAATGTACAATATAAGCCTATTCATAAATTGTCACAACGAATCCCCTCTGTACAACAAATATATCCTATTTAAAAAATTTAAAAAGAAAGAAAAATACTGGCATTCCTTATCTACAGAATTCTTTTGGAAGGCTCCATCGGGTATATGCAGGAGGCTTGTGATAAAAGCTATAGTTAAGGGTTTATGGGAGGTCGGGTGGGTTGGAGATGAGTGGGGTGTAAGTGAAGATGTGAATCGAAATTGGGCCTTTGTAAAACCAGTCTTCCATATACGTTGCTTAAGTTCTATTAAATCTGAAGAGCAAATTCTGGAACTGAAGAAAAAGAACCTCTGCACAGTCCTGGGCTGTTCTGAGGGAAGAAAGCCTGGCCTCTGCCTTGTGACTGCTGATATTCTCTGATTACCTGTGACTGGGCTTTCTCTTATTGGTCACCTGCCTCTCCTATTTCTCTTCTGTTACTGTGAGCTGGCTCGTCTTTGCACCTTGCTAGTATTAAGACTTTGCTTGGGTTATACTGGTGTTCTGAGTCTTAGTTTCCTCATCTGCAAAATGGGTTGGTATCTGGAGTGGCTGAAAATCAGCTGGGGAGAAGGTGCTGAGACCTTACCTGTCCCTGCACTGGATCAGGCACTCTTTGCCCAGCTGGAACCAGCCAGATCGGCAGGAAAGGCATTGCATGCTGTGTCGTCCTTCACAGGTCCTGCAAGAGATGTGGCAGGGCACACACCGGTGGCTGTCCTCATCAGCGTAGTAGCCCTCTGGGCAGTTTTCCACGCAGGTCGTGTCTGTAAGAGAGGAGAAGAATCTGACTTGACAGCAAACCCGACCTGTGGCTCCCACACCTCCCCTGTTTGGGAGGAGGGAGACTGCATTAGCAATGAGTCCCCTGTGAGCTGACGGAGACACCTGAGAGTGAAGGTGACTGTCCAAGAAATAGAATTGGCTAAAAGGTTCCAGGAGTCCAGAGGATGTGGAGATCAGAGTGGACCAGCAGTGTGGGGAGGAGGCTTGCTGACAATTTCTCAGCAAGAGAAGGGGAAACTTGCAGCCTCATTCCATGTGAGCATCTGGCTCACCTCTAAGGTCTACTCAGCTGACAGGGAGAGAGACAGTGCTATCATTTTCTGGTCTTCCCCATATCCTTCTCTTTCAGTTTAGTTCTTCCATGGCTTCTGTTTTCAGTTGAGTTTTCTTTCTCTTTCTCCCATGGTGTCCCTGGATACCTGAGGACATTGCTTCTCGCTAGCAATCACCTTCAGATCCCCCATTTGCTAAAGTAGCCAACCTTGGACTGTGCTACATGTTAGAAGATTTTGTGTTGTTTTTGAGACAGGGTCTCACTGTGTAGCCCAGGCAGGCCTCAAACTGTTGATCCTGCTGCCTCAGCCTCTTGAGTGCTGGAATTGTAGGCATGCATCACCAGCCTCACTCAAGAAGATTTATTAATGAACAGCTGCTAAATCAAGAGGAAATTTTGATAAGGAGCTGAATAGCTACATGTTTTGAAGGCGTCTCCCTGCAGACTGCTTATTAGTTACACGGGAATCAATAGTAATCTATTGTTTATACAACGGAGAAATTGAAAATTTGACCAGATGATCAAAGGTAATACCTAACTAATGAGAGGCAGAGGAAATATCACACATACACCTTCAGATGTGGCTCTCAGAGGACACAGCATCACCTATTTGGCTAAGAGAGAGAAACTCAGTGTGTGGAAATGTTCCAGAATGAAGGCGGCTAAAGAGACAGGGAAAGGTGAATGCAATGACTGACCCTGAACGGAACCCGTCCTAAAGGGGAATAGTAGACATTTTAATAGGAGAAGTGTATTGAAGTATTGTATCAGTGTAAATGTCCTGTGGTTATGTAAAAAAGCACCCATGTACTTGGGAAACACAGTAAAGTGTTTGCGGGAAAGAAAAAGACACACCGTGGATTAAGTATGGGGGGAAGGGTAAATGACAAAGTAAATGGGGTGAAAGATTCACCATGGGTGGCGTACGTGGTGTTCTGTGTTCTACACTCAGTCTGGTTTGAAAATTTCCCAAAGGAAAGTAAAACAGAGGAAACCAATATCCGCTGGGCACCAGGCATCTTGCCAGGTGACTTCCCAGAGAGAGCAGTAACTCACTGAGAAGAATGCTGTTCCTTGGGCAGGTGTGACACTGGTCCTCAGTGGGCCCCGAGCAGTGCAGGCACTTCTTATGACACGGCTGGCACCTGTGAGTATCCTCATCCCAGTACTCGATGGCAGCACACTCCTGGTGAGGCACACAGGCCCCGTGCTTGTTCTTCCTCAGGCCTTCCCGACACGTCGTGCAGGCGCTAGATGACAAGCAGGTCTGGCAGTACTCGTGGCAATCTGCAAGTACGGCAGAGGCGCAGACAGTGAGAGAAGACCGGGGCACCCCTCTAGAAATGAACTCCTTTCTTCTGGAGACTTCTGGGGCTTTGTGCCAAAGTTGTGGCATCATGAGTTGGGGACAGCCCTTGGTCTCTGTGGTAGAGCAATCTCAGTGTAAAATGAGAAAAAAATGGCTATTTTACTTTCTCTGTTATACCAGAGACCTCCTTCCTGCAAACAGCCATGAAACATATTAATAAGGTTCACTGTAATTGCCCCAACTCCACCAAAATAATGGCAAGCTTTTTTTTTTTTTTTTTTTTAATGGGACTGGGGTTTGAATTCAGGGCTTTGTGCTTGCAAAGCAGGTGCTCCACCGCTTGAGCTATGCCCCTAGTCCCTTTTGCTTTGGGGATGGGGTCTTTAGGACTGTTTGCGTGGGCTGGCCTTGAACCATGATCCTCCTAATCGCACCCTCCCAAGTAGTTAGGTTTATAAATATGAGCCACCAGTGCCCGGCAATGGCAAGCATTCTTTAATGGCGTGGTTTCACACTACCGAGTGGCCTTTTCAACCATCATAACCCACTGCTCTCTGCTCCTTCATACCCCTCCCACAACTCCTTTAGCTTCTTACAATGCAGCAACTGTTGGACTACATCGTGATCAACCATTGACAAAAACAGCCTCTCACCAGGAGCTGGTGGCTCACGCCTGTAATCCTAGCTACTCAGGAGGCAGAGATCAGGAGGATTGTGGTTTGAGGCCAGCTGGGCAATAGTTCAAGAGACACTATCTTGAAAAACCATTCACAAAAAGGGCTGGCAGAGTGGCTCAAGGTGTAGGCCTTGAGTGCAAGCCCCAGTACTGCAAAACAAAAACAAAAACAAAATAAAAAACCCCAGCCTCTATTGTGTTTCTTCCTCCTCCTCCTCCTTCTTCTTTTGGAAGTACTGGTTTGAACTCAGGGCCTATACTTAGAGCCACTCCACTAGCCATTTTTTTTTTTTTTTGTGAAGGGTTTTTTCAAGATAGAGTCTCGAGAACTATTTCCCAGGCCTGGCTTCTTTTTTTTTTTATTGTTTTATTATTCATATGTGCATACAAGGCTTGGGTCATTTCTCCCCTCTGCCCCCACCCCCTCCCTTACCTCCCCCCACCCACTCAATACCCAGCAGAAACTATTTTGCCCTTATCTCTAATTTTGTTGAAGAGAGAGTATAGCAATAATAGGAAGGAACAAGGGTTTTTGCTGGTTGAGATAAGGATAGCTATACAGGGAGTTGACTCACATTAATTTCCTGTGCATGGGTGTTACTTTCTAGTTAATTCCTTTTGATCTAACCTTTTCTCTAGTTTCCCAGGGCTGGCTTCGAACTGTGATTCTCCTGATCTCTGCCTCCTGAGTAGCTAGGATTACAGGCGTGAGCTTGTGTTCACTTTTGAATGCATGGCACCTAAGAGAGGAACTGGAGTAGTGTGACAGGGACTCTGGAAATATGTGTGAGACAAATAAAGCAATTAACTCTCACTTCCAGGTTTGAGCAGTTGTCATTCCTTCTACCCAGAATCCTCTTCTCCCAGGTGTCTGCAGATTTATCTCCCATATAGTTCTCCCTCCTTTCCCCTTCCCGTTCTCAGTGATACTTCCCAGTACATCTCTCAAGTGGCAACTCCACCTCGCTCATCTTCCTATCCCCCTTCCCTTCCTTATTTTCTCCTCTTATTATCTGTAGCATCTTTCTTCCCCCAATAGAATGTGATCTCCATGGGCAGGGGTTCTGTCTGTATTGTTCCCAAGCCGGAAGAACACCAGGTGCATAGTAGGCCTCTGCTAAACATCTCCCTGGGTGAACAGAACAGACATGTGGAATTATTACGGTTATTATCATCTCATTTTATCTGCATCTGGAATTGACTGGAGATGCTAAGTGACCCAGTTGGAAGGGACAGGACCAGGAGCTGAGTCTAGGCCCTTGACAAGTGCTCCTACCAGTTGTGCCCCAGTGTCTCAAGAAAGGGGTGGGCAGTCAGCCTGGTGCTTGGGAAAAGTCCTTCCCCAAAATGCTTTTCTCCCTTGTTTGAGAATTCCTGTTGTAATGGACAATTTATTTTATTCTTTGGTTCCCTGATAACTAATAAAAGGCAGACAATCTCCAGGTTCAGTTAGAACTTGAGGAGGGATAAATAATAGTGTCTTTTCTTCAGTGTGGAAGGACTGAAGTGCCAGGTGGAGGAAGGGATGGGGCTTGGGACCACAGGAGCTGAAGGGGAGGAGAGGAGGAGGCAAACCAGGAAGGAAGAGAAGAGGCACGGGGAAACCCTATGTGGCACAGCATGTAATGGCTTAAAACTTTAAGAAAAATCTTTCACTTACGCATTTTGAAGGCTCATCACATCTGTTGAAATCCATTTGGCTGACAGGTCATAACCACGGTTAGTAGGAAGGACCATATTATTTGCAATTAGTGTAACCGACATGATGAATGAGAATGAATGATTCATTATAAAAATTAATTGGGACCAATTTAAAATAGGTGGGAAGGTTAAGGATAGGATGATGGCTTTGGCTGGAAATGTGCAGACCCCAGAGGCTGTTTTGTCTGTGCAGAAACCCATCTTACTAGGCTCCCCAGATGCTGTGCTGGGTTGTTTTTTTTTTTTTTACCTCTGCAGGCCTCAGTCTCCTCGTCATAGTAAGTTCCCATGGGACACTCAGTTAAGCACTGCCCGTTGTAGAGGAACATGGATGTGTCAGCACAGAGCTCACAGTTGTCCGCCTTGGGACCACTGCACTCCAGACAGTCTTCATGGCAGGGAACACACTGGCGCAAGTCTGGGTAGGAGCCCTGGGGACAGGACTGATGGCACGTGTCATCATGCAGGAAGAAGTCAGGTAAGCACTCTGGGGGAAGGAGGAGGCAGCAAGTTACCCCAGCAGTTGGAGAAGGGAAGTAATTGATCTTGCAGTTCACTTGACCTGAGAATTCATTTGCCCCATCCCCACTTCTCCAGGGTCTAGCCTCAGTTCATATCATATCATCTCCCCTGCCCTGGAGAAGGAAGGAGGCCTCACATGGTGGCCTGATTAGGAAATCCTGGATTTGTGTGATGGAATTCCATGCGTCTCTGACGTGCAAAATGTTGCAGTGTTTTGGGAGTCACTGATGGCTGCCATGCTGCAGATTTGGCCAGAAAATCCAGAAAGAATCAACAGATATTTAAAATTGTATTAAGCAACCCAGCCTCTATTCCATAGCAAAACTGGTTTAGGAAGTGTTGGATTAGGTAATTTTTCATTCATTGAGAAAGCAAGACCCAGTCTCAAAAATAATGAAAAGCGAAAAGGGCTGGCAGTGTGGCTAAAGCAGTAGAGCACCTGCCTAGCAGGCTTTGAGTTCAAACCCCAGCACTGCCAAATGCATTGTGGGTTTATTTTATTTCTATTCCTATTCTTATTTTGTGGAGGAATCCTGGAAAGCTCTTTAGGTCACACCAAGAAGATTCTTTGGATAGAACAGGACCAGATAAGTGAGCCTGTCTTATTTTGGAAAGGAAATTGGGTATGGATGTCTTTCTTGGGAGATTGTTCTGGAGAAAAAAGCCTGTTCATAGAGAGCTGTTCTCAGTCTTATAGTTGCCAGATTTTTCTTTCTTGTCTTTTTTTTTTTTGGTACTGGAGATTGAACCCATGGTTTCACACATGCTAGGCCAGCACTCTCCCACTTGTGTTATGCCCCAGCCATTTTGTTTGTATTTTGTCCAGAATCTTGCTAACTGCACTGGATGGCCTTGAACTCTAGATCTTCCTGCTTCTGCCTCTTGAGTAGCTGGGATTACAGTTGTGGATTACTGTGCCTATATTTCTCTAACCACCGCTGTATTTTTTGTTGTTGTCTAATATCAGTCTCTTCTATAAGATTTTGCACTAAAAGATTAGGGATTTTGAGTTCTTATCTGTGTCTCTAGAGCTGGGGGCAGTGCTTGTGTGTGTGTGTGTGTGTGTGTGTGTGTGTGTGTGTGTATGTAAGATATCTTGGCTTATCTTGCAGAATTCGTAGTGGAAAAAGTATGCCTCACCTTCCATTTTCACAATGATAGGCAAGGAAATAGACACATTTTGGTGAAGGTAGAGACACTGGTCCACACAGTTGTCTTTGGACCCTTCATCTTCAGGTGGTGTCCCCGGCTAGGTTGGCTCACCAGGACCCCATTCCCCCGAGATGCTCTGGGTACCTTTGCATGTTTTCTCATGGATGCACTCCTGGCACATCTCTGGGCAATGCTTGCACACGCCATCCACAGCCACATGTCTCTCAGGGCAGGTCTGGGGGCATGTTCCATGGTCCAGGACGAAGCCTTCTTCACAAGATTGACAGTTGGTGGCATTTCCTTCACAAGTTCTGCAGGGAGAGCTACAGCGCTCACAGATGCCATCTCCCGAATAGAAGCCCCTGGGGAAGGAAGGGAGAGAGCAATTGAAGAAGGTTGGCTAGAGACTTGAGTCACCAGGTGGCAAAGACATTGGGACAAAAAAGAAAGGGCTGCTGCCACTGTCAACCAAAATGAACTCACAAGTTTACTGAGGAAGGGTGAGAAAAGAATGTCTGAAAAGATAAAATGAAACAGAAAGGTGTTCTCCTTGGGAAATTGGTTTGTTTAAAAGCACTCATTGTTCATTTGTATGTAATGTCTTAATTTGTAGATAACTGTCTTCTGATTCTCCTGTTTTATCCCTCGATTGTCATGACTTTTTCTTTTGTTAGAGTCTTACTTTACAGAAGAAAGTATTTCTTATTCAATTTAGTAACTTTTAAAACATTTAATAAATTTAAAAAGTAGTTCCAAAAGTCTTACAGGGCTGGTGGAGTGGCTCAAGTGGTAGAGCACCTACCTAGCAAGCATGAGGCCCTGAGTTCACACCCCAGTACCACACACATAAAGAAAAGTGTGCTATGAGTGCTGTTATTGGAGCCTGTGTGACCGACTTTCTTCCAGGTGGAATGTGATGTCAGCCTACAAGGTGTCTCGGAGTGATTAAATTATCACATTTACAGAAATCACTCATTGGTGTGTGCATAGTAACTGTGACACCCCAACCTCCTCATATATGTTTGGGAGATGCTTCTTTGAAGGAGAAGTTGAGGAGAATGGCTGGCACTTGCAGGGCAGAAAAATCATACGCTAGCTGAGAGAAAGTGAAATCGTAGATACCTAGTTCCATCGCTATCCTTCAGTTACTATCTGTGATAGTGCTGTGTAACAAACTACTCTTTCTCACTCGTGTGTGTGTGTGTGTGTGTGTGTGTGTGTGTGTGTAGCAGGTGCAGGCTGGGCTGGGCAGGTGGACTCCAAGCCGTACACTACAAGTGTCACAGCCCTCCTTTCTCCTGGGCACTGGGACTTGGCTATGGCTTCCCATAGCCAAGACACTGGAAGGCAAACTCAATAGGGCACATTTTAAGCCTCTCTCTGCTAACATCCCATTGGCCAGAGCAAGTCACAGGACCCAACTCAAAGCCCAGGAGCAGGAAGCCAAGTCCCTTTTGTCTTTGTGGAGATGCTGCAAAGTTGTAGGGATAAGACATGGGTAACAGGAGGGTGAACAAATGCAGCAAATAATACATCAGAGTCTTTTTTTTTTTTTTTTTGGCAGTACTAGAGGGTTTGAACTGAGGTCCTTATGATTGTTAGGCAGGCTCTCTACCACTTAAACCACACCCCTGGAACTTTTTTGCAGTATTTATATTTCTGAGAAGTGACTCATACTTTTTGCCCTGGCAACTGGGATTACAGACATGCATCACACAGCTAGCTTGTTCTTTGAGAAAGGATCTCATGGGCTGGTAGAGTGGCTTAAGTTGTAGAGTGCCTGCCTAGAAAGTGTGAGGAGCTGAATTCAAACCCCAGTATCCCCACAACAAAAAAAAAAAAAAAAAAAAAAAAAAAAAAAGGAGGGAAGGGAGAAGTAAAATAGGAATGAATAAAAGTCACATTTTTTTCATGCATTTTTAAGAAAGAAAAGTGAGAGAAGTAAGCAGTTGATGGAGAATAAGAGGCAGGCTGAGTTCAGGCTTCCTCACGTATTAGTACCTTCAGCACTGTTTTTCCATTACGATGGAGAACAAAGACTCAGTTACTTTGTCCAAGCAAGTCTCTGTTAAACATGAATTTGACAATGTGATGGATAGAAATGTACTGCATGCTCACCAGGCATTGGACTGTATTTGAGAAATTTGAGATTAAGGAAATTTAGCGCTTTCTAAACTATATCATGTTTACCTGAATGAAAATTTGCTTGTTAACTGTTCCTAGATGTATGGTAAGGAATTCAGGGTCGCAGTAAAAGAGGCCCAGGCTTTATTCCCAGCCCATGTCTGAACCTTTGGAGTTTCTCAAGTGGTGGCCGTGTCTTTGTTGGTCATGATGTGCCTCTTGGGCCATCAAAGTGGGGTAGTCTTAGGGTGGAGGAGGCCATATCAGAAAAACCAGCCTGTGTTTAGAGGGTGAAAGCTTTGGCCCCTGTGATACGACACCATCCTCCAGGAAAATTTCAATGCTAGCCCCAGCCCAGGCCTTCAGAGGAAAGAGTTGCCCCTTTGTGGGAGCAGGGTGCAGAGCAAGCAATATGTAGTCAGACTTTGATTGTGTCTGCACTGAGCTGTTGCAGACTTGTTCTTTGTCATTATTCCGAGACAATGCAGTAGAATAATATTTCATAACTTTTGCATTGTTAGTAGGTATTGTAAGTAATCTCAAGATTATTTAAATTATAGGGAGGATGTGTGTAGGTTATATGCAAATGCTATGTCATTTTGTGTAAGGGGCTTGAGAATCTGGGGATTTGGGTATCTTGGATGTTTGGAATCTGTGGATATGGAAGATGTGCGTAGTTTCTGGACACTGAAGAAGAGCAATTCTAGTACAGAAGCTAAAAAGCTGCAGTGTGAAGAAATCTGGAGAGTCTTCTTAAAGTCAGAGGATGATGGATGAAATTCTGAAACAAAAGCTAAAAGAAAAAAATAAATCTATTAAAGACCACTGTTAGTTAAAAAGTAAGTGGATATCAGAAACTTGGTAGGCAGCCAGGGGAAATATGAGAAAGGCTTTGTTTTTTTAGAACAGTTTTAGAATCGCAGCAAAGTTAAGAGGAAGTTACAGAGATTCCCGTATGCCCGTGCCCAGTCACACTCCCAGCCTCCTCCAATATCAACATTCCTGCACCACAGGGGCACATTTGTTACAACTGGCCAGCCTACATGGAGATGTCATTGTCACCCAGAGTGCACAGTGCACCTTCTGGTCCACTCTTGGTGTTGTATAGTCTATGAGTTTGCACCAAAGTATAGTGAATGTATCACCATTACCGTGTCATGGAGTCTTCATGCCTTACACACCCTCTGTGCTCTTCTTATTCACCACCCCCTCACTAGTCTAACTGATTTTACTGTCTTCATAGTTTCACCTTTTTCAGAAGATCTTAGAGTTGGAGTCATACAGCATGTAGCCTTCTCAGATTGACTTCTACCAGTTAGCGATATGCATTCAAGGTACATCCTTGTCTTTTTATGGCTTGACAGTTTATTTATAAAAATAAATATGAGTAATATTTCACTGTCTGGTGTTTAAAACAATTTAGTTGGGCATCCATGAGGAAACAAGCAAAGGTACCTGGTGGCTCACGCCTATAATCCTAGTTACTTAGGAGGCAGAGATCAAGACTGCAGTTCAAAGGCAGCCTGGGTCAGGGATGGAAAGTAGGACCCTATCTTAAAAATACCCAACACAAAAAAGGGCTGGTAGAGTGGTTTAAGTGATAGCACACCTGCCTAGCAAGTATGAGGTCCTGAGCTCAAAGTCAGTACTCCCTCTTCCCCGCTCCTGATTTGTCTTGCTTCTGTGGACACCTTATAAAGGTTTCCCCTCTTATTCCCCGCGTGGAGCTCCGAACCACTTGCAGTGTGGTGCTAGTCAATTCATGCATCACTGCGTATTCAAATAAACTTATTAAAAATTTAATGCACAATTCATATATGCTAATAAGAAGAATTGAAAAGCAAACAAACAAAACTTTAACTGGACACCACAGTTAGTTAATTCATTCACCTGCTGCTGTACTTTGAATCTCTACTATCTGTGAAAACCTTGGTCCTCAGGACAGTGTCAGCTAATGGAGAGTTTTAAGAAGTGGAGCCTAGGTGGGAGGCCTTAGGTAATTGCAGGTGTGCTGGCCTACGGGATTGTGAGACCTCTCTTTTGTTTCCTGGCAATGTGACCTTCAGTTTTCCTCTGACGCTTGCTCCCACTGTGATGTGCTGCCTTGCTACAGCCTCAAAGCAATGGAGCCAACTGATCATGGAGTACAACCTCCAAAACTGAGCCAAGATGAAACATTTTCCCTCGTAAAGTGATAATCTCAGGTATTCATTACAGTGAGAGAAAGACAGCTAACACACTTACCTTGGTTACACCCAAATTTTGATAATTCTTTTTCTTTCTTTCTTTTTTTTCTTGGTGGGACTGGGATTTGAACACAGAACTCAGGACTCCTAGCTTGTAAAGCAGGCACTCTACTACTTAAGCCATGTCTCCAGTGCATTTTGCTCTGGTTATTTTGGAGATGGGGTCTTGCCAACTATTTGCCTGGCTTGCCTTGAGCTGTGATCCTCCTGAGTAGCTAGGATTATAGAAGTAATCCTCTGGCATCTGGAAAATTTTGACAATTATGAATGAAGTTGTTATTATTGTTCATGTGCAGGTTTTTGTGTGGACTTAAGTTTTCAAGAAGTTTTATTCAGACAGGCATTTTGCTAAAAGCATCTTTCTCCACAGGTCCTACCTAGTTATCCATTCTTCTGTCTTCTGGCATTTACAAAACAATTTTTGTTGTTGATGCTTTTCTTTACTATTGTTTCTGTTTAAGGAGACAAGGACTGGAGTTGTGGCTCAAGTAGTAGAGGGCCTGCTATGAGAACGCTTGCTTTGCAAGTGTGAAACCCTGAGTTCAAACCTCAGTCCCACCACAAAAGACAAAACAAACAACAAAAACAAAAACAAAAAAAACAGAACAATGACAGCCAGTGCTTAGAGAAAGGCTGTTTTTCTTCCCCCAGAGTTTCATATCTAGTGACTTTGAATACATTTTGTTTTTCATTGTTTTTTATTTGTTTGTTTGAGATAGGATCTCACTATGTAGCCCAGGCTGGCCTTGAACTCAGAATCCTCCTGCCTCCAACTCCTTCATGCTGTTTGGTTGCCTTTTAAACAATTGCAATAATGATATATATTACTATTCTAACTTTTCTTTTTTTGACAGTACTGGGACTTGAACTCAGGGCCTAAAACTTGCTAGGCAGGGGCTCTACCACTTGAACCACACCATCAGCCCAAACTTTTCTTTTATGAGCATCTACCATATTTAAAACCAGTGGCCACTGATGCTGACTTAGAAACAACCCTATAGTTTCTTTGCATATTATTGCTGTTCTAGGGTGGATCACAACTGAAAGGACCCGTTTCAGAAATAGAATAAGCCTCCCAAGTATGGTCCACAGATTCTGTCTTCCCTGTTTTTCTTGTAAATATAAAGATGATGGTGCATGCCTGTAGTCTTCAGCTGCTCAGGAAGCTGAGGTGGGAGAATCATTTGAGTCCATGAGTTCGAGACCAGCCCAAGCAGCATAGTAGGATCCTGTCTCTAAAAACTAAAAAATAAATCAACAATGGGGCCCCACAGTAAAAAGAACACCCTGCTCAAAACAGGAGACATGTAGTAGCCTTCCTACTACTCAAAAATTACAATGTCCCACTGCTTCTAAGAATGGTTCAATTCAGACATGAAGGGAAATGTTGAGTGACAACTAATTGGAGAAAAGCAAAATGCATTTCCTCCTTGTTTCAATGTACTGGCAATTTCTGGAACACTTGAAAAATCCAGGAAGGAGTTGGGAAAAGGTAGTTAAAGGTTTTTTTTTTTTTTTTTTTTGGCAGCACTGGGGTTTGAACTCAGGTCCTCATGCTTGCTAGGCAGGCACTCTTACCAGTCTAAGTGTGGTAATGTTTAATAGAGAATATTAATGACAACTATTTCAGTTCCACCATAGCAATGGCTTCATAGCAATGGTTAATGAAGAAGCAATGACCGACTCTGGAAAAGAGATATCTGACCTTCACTTTTGTTTTATTACATGTGTGATCTTGGCAATGCCTTCCCTTTCCTCATCTATAAAATGGGGGAAATGATAGTATGTGAATTAGAGAATTCTTGTGAGAACTGATGGGATTTTTTAAGCTCTTAGCACAGTGCTCAGAGATCATAGGCATTCTAAAAAATCATAGCAGTTTTTAAAGCATTTCTTTATTGTTGGGCTCTCTTAGCCTGTTGCAAACAGGGCCTTGAAAAGAATAACGTGAACTGCTGCAAACCTTCCCTACTGGATCGCCAGCCTTTTGCAGGCTCTGACTTACTTCAGCTGATCTTAACTTAGCTTCCAGTATCAATACCAATAACATTTCTGATAGAAATAGACTTTACTGAGCTGTTCTTATACAGTGTAGTATATTGATACTGTGTCAGCATCAATTCTTACAGCTCTATGTAGTTGAACTGAATGTGCTTGGGAGCTGCACTGCATTGAACGCTTCTTGAGGGGAAGTTGTACTCTGTGGAGTCTGTGTCATAATGGATAGGTCGTTAGAAAACACATGCCTTTATTATAAGTTTTTAAATCAGGGACCAAAGGCAATTTCTAATTCCTTAAAATAAGCCCTGTGTGTTGCTTCTTCTACAAATGCACTTCTTGCCTCCTTCACTCTACTCTTCCTTGCTCTGTGTTCTGATTTTTTTTTTGGGGGGGAGGTGTCTAAGGGTGAATCTTCTTCAGCCTAAATCAATTCTTATATAAAACCATCTCTCCGTTTATCTGCAGTTTCGTTTTCTGGGGTTTCAGTTACCCACAATCAACCATGGTCCAAAAATATTAAATGGAAAATTCTAGAAATAAGCCATTCATAAATTTTAATTGTGCACCATTCTGGGCAGCATCATGAAATTTTGCACCATCTCACTCCAGCCAGCCAGGGGCACAAATCGTCCCCTTATATATGACACGTGCCTGTCGGTCAGTAGCTGCTTCTGTCATCAGATCAGTTATGGCAATCACAGTACTTGTGTTCAAGTAACCTTACACAGTAGCCTAGTGCTACATCATCGTGTGTTGCTCATCTCATCACACAGGCGTGTCGCGTCCTATCTTCACACAGAGGGTGAGTACAGCACAATTAGATATTTTGAGAGGGGGAAATGCAAGAGTCGTTCACCTAACTTTTATTACAGTATATTGCTATAGTTGTTCTATTTTATTAGTTAATCTCTAACTATGTATGTGTAACTTATGCATTAAACTTTATCACAGGTATGTATGTATGCATAGGAAGAAACAGGGCAGCTGTGTGGAGGGTTTGCGCTATTCAGGTTCAGACACCCACTGGGGGCGCTGGAACACACACCCCACAGATAAGAGGGGGTTTTCGTTCTTCTTGTCAGAGACTGACCTGGGAAGGTGGAAGTGATACATTCTCAATGAGAATGGAAGGCAAGTCTGAGGAAGTTCTCTTTCCTCTTAAAAAAAGGGATAAACAAGGAGAAAGGTCCCCTTTTCTGCCTCTGCTCGTGGCTGGGTAGGGTGGTGGTGTCTGGAGCTGGGGTAGATTACAGGACTCAGGAGTGGAGCCTGCCAGAGGGGACAACAAGGGAAGGTACAAGAAAAAAAAGGGTTCCCTCTGGCCTTGCAGGCCACTAAAGTAAGCAACTCTGGACTTCCTGGCTCTGTTATGTGAGGTAATAGTCATTTTGCTCAGCATTTTGTAACTTTTTGCTGACAATTTCCTCATGTACTTTCCACTTGCCATTTACTTCTCTTTCAGGTAAATCCTGAAGGTGGGACTGTTAGCAAAGACCAAAGGAATGATAAGCCTGGGGACGGAGAAAATCATGGGAATCAATAGATATTAACCAGGTGTTATTACTTATTACTTATAATTCACAACTCACTTCAAAATTTAGAAGTGGTTCATCTCACAGTTTTGCTTTTGTGATGGAGAAAAATAAAGCTGTAACACTTGATCATTAATACAAGGCATGGCTAGTACAAAGCAATGTTTAGGTTGACAGTGGATCTCTGTTGAAACTACTCCAGAAATGGGGGGAGGGAGAAAAAGGAGAATGATGGAGGGAGTAAATTCAATTAAGTATTGAAAGAACTTTTGTAAATGTCACATTGTACCTCCAGTAACACTAATCTGATTAATAAAAAAACCAGTGAACCTATATATATAACAGTATATAGCATAGAGCCTCCATGTGAGGTAGCTGTTCCATCTGGGTTTGTGTAAAACGCTCTAGATATTCGAGTAATGATGAAATTGCCTAACGATGCATTTCTTAGAACATGTCCTCATGGTTATGCAATGCAAGATGCATGAGTGTATTTTCACAAGAGTAAAAATACATGCATAGAATAGTCAGAGAGAGAAGTAGGCATCTGGCCCTGTGTTAGTTTTGGCCACTGTGGTCAGCGGTGATGTCAGACAGTTAACAAAGGACATTTATGTCGGTGCTGTAGCCAGGGAGAAGGAGAGGTCTTTGGTGAGTAGGAAGGAACTGTCCCCAAGGTATTTATGAGCAGGAAGTCAAACAAAGGAGGAAACTTACTCAGGGCACCTGTGGTAGCACCTGCCTTCGTACAGGAAGAGGGGGCGGTCAGGCTGTGTCAGGCACTTTGTACAAAGATCATCTCCAGAGCAAGAGGCGCAGTCCTCTAAACAGTTCTCACAGCTGCCACTTCTGACTGAGGGCCATGTGCCTTGGGGACAGGAGGAAACACAGGCCTGCTCCAATAGATAAGCACCTAGAAATGCAGGGAAGAGGGCAGAGAGGCAGTTAACACATGTTTGTCCTAACAGTGCCCACATCGTCTAGACAATGACACCCACAAGCCTTTCTAAAGCTTACCACAGCCCAAGTGTTTGGAATGCTTATTTCAGGCTTATGAAAGATTTATTACTGATGCTAGTCTTCTAAGATGAGTTAAAGGTTTAGGAAGGAAATGGACAGCCTCAGGCCTTTGTCCTGATGCTTTGCTTCCTCTGTTATTAGGTACTGGTCACCTGGGCGTCCCTCTGCCCGTCTGACCAGTGCTGCTCACGCCCTTGTCTGTGTCTCCAGGTGTGAGGCAGCCACACATGCACAGTTGGATGGAGTCTTCTCTTCTGCCTCCTCAAACCCATCTGTGAGGACACTACCTCACAGCCACTCTTCCAACCACCTCCCCCCTTAATGGACAGTCCATATATTTACTTATATTTAATTGAAATAAACATATTATTGTTGAAGAAACGAATTTAGCCACGTGAGGTGTCACACACTTGTAATGTCAGCACTTAGTAGGCTGAGCCAGGGCGATCACGAGTTCCATGTCTGCCTGGGCTACCCAGTGAGACCCTTTCTTTAAAAGGAAAGAAAGAAAGAAACTGATTTAAAAATCACCCTCAACTCCAAAATTCCAAGAAACTTCTTTCAGTTTTAGGGTGTAGCCTTATTATTTTTTTTATATGCTTATAATCCTGACACATATATTATTTTAAATTCTGCTTTTTTGTGTTGTTTTGCAGGACTGGGTTTGAACTCAGGGCCTATACCTTGAGTCACTCCACCAGCCCTTTGTTGTGATGGGTTTTTTCCAGACAGGGTCTCGAGAACTAGTTGCCCTTGGAAGCTTCGAACTGTGATCCTCCCGATCTCTGCCTTCAGAGTAGCTAGGATTACAGGCGTGAGCCACTGGCACGCTGCTAAGTTATGCTGATTTTGCATCATATCTCACTCTAATAGTCTCCCCTTAGCCATGGTTTCACTTTTTAAAGTCTTGAGGTTAACTGAGGTCCGAAATATTGAATGGAAAATTCCAGAAATGAAAAATTCATGTTTTAAATAACTTTTATTACAGTATACTGTTACAATTTTTCTATTTTATTGTTAGTATTGTTAATCTCTTATCATGCCTAATTTCTAAATTAAACTCTGTTGTAGGAATGTGTGTATGGGGAAAAGCGCAGTAGATACAGGGCTTGGTACAGACAGTCAAAGGGGATTGGTGAGGACAGCCGCACGCTTTGGAGCGCGTCCTGATGAGCGGAGAACATGAACACTGAGCGCTGCTACCAGACCTGCAACGCCCACACTAAGGCATGCGCGAGGTGCCTTACGTCAGTGACGTCAATAAAATGTCCTTCCATCCAGGGAACTTATTTATTATGCTTTTAGAAATAATGAAGAAGTTGATATTTATAGAGCTGTTAAGTTGTTGCCTGTGTTTCCCCTCCCCCACCACTGTCTTTACTATCAACAGTGGAGAAGGAACTAGCACGCAGGCTTTTTATCCTCAGTTTAAATTCTCTTATTTTGGATAATAGTTGTGTGTGTGTGTGAGATATGGGGGGATTTGAACTCAGGACCTTGCACTTGGCTCTATCACTTGATCCATACCCAACCGTTTTATTTATTTCTCTCTCTCTCTCTCTTTTTTTTTTTTGAAGAGGACAGGACTACTAGTAATGTGGTGCTCTGCTAAGCAGGCGCTCTACCACTTGAGCCACTCCGCCAGCCCTTTGCTTTTGTTTTTTTCTGGGGATAGGGTCTTATGTTTTTCCCCAGTCCAGCCTGGAGTGTGATCCTCCTGTCTATGCTTCCCATGTAGCAGCGATGACAGGCGCCCACCACCATGTCCAGCTGTTGGCTGATATGGGAATTCCCTAACTTTTTGCCTGGGCTGACCTTGAACCACAGTCTTCCTGATCTCCACCTCCCAGACAGCTGGCGTTATAGGTGTGAGCCACTGTGCTCAGTTTAAATGTTTTGAAGCAACAAGGGAACTAAAAAGATCAAGCCCCTAACAAATTCTGTGGCTAAGTCAACCAACAACTTCACCATGCTGTTGGGGTAAGAAACATTTCTAACATTTCAAACATTGGTCAATGTTTGGGCCCCTGGGTGTGTCTTCATAGTAGCCCCTATGATGGGAACAGGTGATGGGACCAGATCAAGGTCCTACAAAACTCTGAGCACAAAGATGCCAACATGCAGGGGTGGCAGTGAATTGCCCCAGCCACTGTCACCTCCTGTCACACTCCACACTGACCTTTTGGACACGAGGTGCACAAAGTTGGAGATCCATTGCAGGTTTTACAAGAAGAATGACAAGGTTGAGATTGTCTCAAAACGTCTGAATGAGAAAGAAACATAGTCAGACTTGACCTTTGAACAGGCCCATATGTTGCAGTGTTGGAGAAGTCCTCACAGGTGACCTTGTATCTTTTCCTGTCCCACATAGAAGCCCCTGGGTTTTACATTAGCCAGTTCTTGGCATGTCCCCACTGCCATCATGAAGACTTTGTTCCTTTCTTTTTTCCTTATATTCTTTCATTGGCAACTAATTATCAAGACTCTCAACCTTTCAGTGACCATGAATGTGGTATCTTACAGAACAGTCTTAAATACTCTAGAACATATTTGAACTAATGAGTGATACTTCTTTCCTGTGTGGGTGTAAGTGGGGTGTGCCTGTGTGCATGCTTTCACGAATGAGCCTGAAAAGTCAAAGGCAACCCCTTCCTTTCCCTACTTTTTGATAACTTCGTCACCCTAGTGTGATAACGAATTCATTGTGCCTTTCCTGAAGAAACCTATTTTCTTTCTTTTTTGTTCTTTGTTCTTTGAAAGGCAGATTTTGTTATTGGTCAATGTTTGGGTCCTAGGTTAAGGAGTAGTTGCTGTGGAATGCAGCCTAAATTGGTCTCATCTGAACTTTATCCAAAATTATTGTTAAACAGCAAAATAATCAGCTCACCCATAGGCTTGCTGGTTGGATGGGTTTTCAGCAGGCCATCCCAGTAAACGCACCATTAACTTTGCACACATAAGAAGAATCCATTTCTCCCTCTCCTTCTAAGAGCATTTGATGGGCAGGCTCTTCCAGGAAGTGACCTCAGCAGCATCATGGGTCAATTTCAAAAGCATACAGAATAGCCTTGCTGCCATCACTCAATCACCACCTGCAGGGCTCTTGACTAAAGCACAGGAAGCAGCCTGCCTCACACCGGGAAAACTGGAAAAAGAGGTCTAGTTCAGAACAGATGACCTGAACGACCTTAACCTTTGGTCCATTGCTGACCTCTTACCATTCCTTTCTATCATTCCCTCTTCTCTCCCTGGGAGTCACTGTGGCATAAATGACTCTCTAGTCACACCTGCCTTCAGATCCCAACTGTGTAGCTTGCTGGTAGGGTAACCATGGATACAGTAATTAAACTCTCAGAGTCCTACTTTCCACGTCTCGAAAATGAGAGAAAATGGTTCCTCCCTTACACGATTGTGGTGAGGACTAAATGAGACGGCGTGTGTGAAATGTCTAACTCAGCTGCTCAGTCATGGAAGCTCCGTCTGCTTCCTTTCCTCTCCCCCATGTTCACTGTTCCACCCCATTTCCGAGGCTTCTTTTAGTTTTCTCCCCTTTTCTTTGGGTTTCACACCTGGACTGGCACCGGGAGGCATGGCTTTGTTTCTAGGATGGCACTTACGGTTAAAAAGCTGCTGAGCCTCGCTGTAGAGGAGACAAGGTTGGAATATAGAGGGCTAGAGATATGGATATACACAGATAAATGTAGCTGTAAGGTGTAGATATACACCGATGTATGCACATAATACATATAAAATGTAGCACACACAATAATATACACACAAATATACAATACATAAAAAATGTGCATCTGAGTGACTGTCCAGGTTGTCATGCCAAATGGCAGGTTTTTCCTAGTTTGGAGAGAAAAGTTTGCTTGTTTCCCCAGTGTATGGTTATGCTGATGATTGACCAATGTCACCTCCCCACTCCCCAGGGACAGGTGTGCTAGAGCCAGTTAGCTTAGTGACAGTTGTCTTAAAAGTTGTCCGCCTGCCTCCTAACATGACTGATTCTATCCTTGGGCCTTTTTCATCTGATGATATCACTTAATCCACAAGAGAAGGCAGCAGAAAGTCATCAGTCAAGATGCACACTGAGTAGTGAGAGACGCCACCCAGTGAGTGACGCTGCTGTAGTATTCATCAGACAGTCAGCACCATGAAAAGCTAGGTTATGTGTCCAGGCCACAGGCTGATTTTCTCTTGATGTGCTCATTTTTATACTACAACATCTTTAAAAGATGAGAGTTTTAGGGAGAAGCCTGAAGTTTTCATCCAGAGTGTGCTAGCTAGAGGAATAGGTGACTTCCTCTTTCCTCCCTAAGGTGATGGAGTCTCACTAACTCTTCATCTTCAGCTCAGGGCTCAGGAGCTGGGACCTGGGGGCTCTTGCACACCTTGGCCCCAGGTAAAAGTGAACGGAGACAGGTATGAAAAACAGCCCTCATCCTGATTCCTCCTGCTGCCCAGGCCTGGTCATGTGAAGGAAGAGCTGACAAGAGTGTGTAAATATAAGATAAAATGTCTTTGTTGTACCTTTTGTGGTTTAGTTTTGTATTTAAGCAAACAAGTAACTTGAAAATTGTTTGTCATCATAAAAATGAAACAAGTATTAAAATATTTATTGCCAGGAAAAAGATATGAGTATTAACTGTTCATACTTGTGCAAAACTTAACATATAGCTACACACATATATATATACTTATAATTGCATATGTGTAACATTCTGGCAATTTGATATTTTACTGCATATACTTGGCATAGAATTCTGCAATGTTCCCATATGTCCAGCAGAGGGAGCTCTGTACAAGCAGGTCACAGCAATTAAGCCGTAAATTTATCCCATGAGAGTTCTTTATAATAAAAGATTAGTGACTTAATCTCAACAAGTAAATTTTGACCTCAATCATAGTTTTCATTTTTTATCTCACTCCATAATTCTAGACTTGACAGAACTTGAAAAGAAAAGAAAGGGAAGAAAAGAAAAATCTCTTTAACCAAGAAAGTACAGTGTCCATCCTTCTGAAGTGACCATGCTTAAATCATATAAAACCAGGGTTTCTTTCTATTTCATTTTGTTTTTTATTGAATAGTTAATAGTCTCATGGTTCAAAATGGAGTAATGGCATGTCCTTGAACTCATGATCTTTTTGCCTCAGCCTCCCGAGTATTGGTATTATAGGTATGTACTATCCCATGGGGCTTGCCTTTCTATTTTAAAAGTCAGTATATTTGGGAAAGCATTCTTTGTCAGTACCTAAAGAGCTGGCTCATTCTTTCTGATGGTTTCATCGTACTCCCTGTGTGGATGTATCATATGTCATTTCTCCAGTCTTTTATTGTTGGCCTTTTAGTTTTCCAATCTTTGCTATTCCAAATAAGGCTGCAGTGTCTGGGTGGTAGAAGGCTCTCCTTTAGACTATTACGGGGATTGAACCCATGGCCTCATACGTGCTATGTAAATGCTCTACCACTAAGCTACTGCTCAGCCCCTGAGTGGCTCTTTTTGATAGCCTTTCTCAGGCATAATTGCTAGCTTAGTGCATCCAGAATGTCTTTCCATGTAACAGAAATCTGAGCTGCTGAATTTCCTCAGTGTCCCCTGGAATGCCCACTGATACATGATGCTTATGACCTCTCCCCTCCACCTCTCCCTTAGGACTTCCAAATCCCCGTTCCCTCTCGCCTCCCAGTGCCCTAGCTTGGTTTCACCACAGGAGAAACGATTGCTACGCGGTGATGTCTACTCCCTATTTCCCTATTACCTCTTTTGATCTGAACCTTCCACTTTCTTCGCTCCTGCAGCAGGCTCTTCATCAAAGATGGGTTTACAGTGGGTACAGCTTCTTTTTTATTAAAAAAGACAAACAATATTCTTTAAATGCAAAATGAATGAAGAAGACAAACTTCACTTATAACCCCACCGCCCAGAAATGTCTGCTGCATATAATCTGGCATGTGGATTTGATCTGCCTGTGGAATGCTGGGTGTAAGTGCATATGCAGAGAGCTAGACGTTTACACATTCTGCATATGTAATGCTGGCCTTGAGCACCACACTCAGCATTCTAAATCTTACAGCCATTATTTTTTGTAAGCATCATTTTTAATGATGAGTCATAATTCATTTATTCTTTGTTTCATTTTAGATTTGTTTATAAATAACGCTGCTATGAACAGCTCCATGAAGGTGCAGTGCTTGGCTGAATTAGGACTTTGCCTGGCTATTAGGCATCTTCACACACTGTTGTTTGCTGACTTCTTGCTGGGACTATTTTCCCCACTCCTGTATTGCTCTTTAGACTTCTAGATGCTTTCTGCGAGCTAGGAATTGCTTTGAAAGTGAAAACAATTTCACTTTCAAATTTTCAAATTTTAGGTGTTAAAACTAGATTGGGTCAAACAGTTAGGGAAGAAATTCATTTTTAATCATCTGGAGGGTTTATGTATATACTCTCACTTAATCCTTAAAATGTGTGAAGTTGTTTTAAGCTCTCATTTTATAGATGAGGAAACAGGCTCAGAGAGGATGAGCAAGTTGCTACAGGTCACTTTGCTAGTAAATAACAGAGCTAGGATTTGAATTCAGGTCTACCTGACTCCAGAGTTACTATTATTACTGTTATTCTCAGTGCTGAGGCCTTGCACATACTAGGCAAGTGCTGTACCTCTGAGCCACACTCCCAGTCCCTAGGTCTGCCTAACTCAATAGCCCACCTCCACTACAAAGGTGTTTCAGCAATGAATTTGGATTTCAAAGTAATTTGAGAGAGACCAAAGTAATGGTATACTGGTAAGACAGCTCTCTAGAAAACAATAGCAAATTTGTATTGTTGCCGATTCCTGTGGTATAAATATTCCCACCAGAGCTAATTTCAAACTGTCAACAGTTTAACAGTACACAAAATTCCTGGATGTTTAACACTCAGCATGAGCCAATGCAAGTGACTCCTTCATACTATTTGGCCAAACAGGTAGGTTTAATTACTTACTAATGACTTGTGTTTTCTATACTCTGCATTCTGGTTGGCTAAGTAAAAATAACATCCTACTATCTAAGTTAAATGAGGAAATTGAATGTATAGATGGATGAAGTCCTAAAAATTAGATTTCCATAGCATTCATAAAAGATGTCATAAAACTTTTCTAAAGTTCTGTTACTGCTACAAAAACACATTGAGGTTGACTGCCCTCCACCATATGTGGCTTTCAGTGTTTGTGACTGAATATGGGATTCCAGTCTTTTCCACAAGCCTAGGAATTCAGATCAAAAGATGGGCTATTGATAAATTGTTAGGATGTGGTCAAAGATAAAATGTTAATTCACCATGCCTGTGCTTTGTAGATTAGACTCTCATTGGAATATGTAATTAGAGCCTGCTACAACCTGGATTTAATCAATGAGGGAAATAGGTGGGTAGGGGAATGTTAAGGAATGACTCTAGGACTTTTCAGCACTACTAGGGGGGAAACCACTTAAGAAAATTCAAATGCTTGAACAATATCAGAAAGAATGATTTCCATGCTTAGCAATGGCACCAGGAAACCAGCCAAAACCACCATTTTCCTTTGAAGCCTGTGGCCTGCCGCACCTGGCCATTTCCACCAATGCTGGATTCATGTGATTCTTGAGTTACTGCTGAAGCCACTCATGGCTTGTTTGATATGGGTTTTATTCCTGCCATTTAAGGATTAAGTAATCATCACAATATATATAGTGACTGGACAGGGGGTCCTTGGATGATCATTTGTGCAGTGACTTGTGCACATTTTTTGGTGGCTGGAAGAACAGAGAACAGAACAGCCATCTTTGGAGACTGCTTGGTCTTGGTTGGAGAAATTGCCAGGCTTAGTCTGATGTGTGGAGCAGACTCCACCCTTGGACCAGGATGGGACATCTTCCTCTCTGTTGGTAGTGGCCAAAGAATGATGGCTCTCTCATCCCTGCCACTCTCATCCTGATTAGCCCTAGTACTAAAAAAGGAGCTCAGTGAACTCCAGTTAGATTTTTTTTCAAGGGTATTTTCCCAGCACACACAGACATTTTCTCAGGGGTGGGCTGTGATATTTGGATGTGAACACGAACTTACTGTTGTCCCTAGGGAACTGTGGTGAAGTTTGTGCCCATCATACCTTTCCTATCTGAATCTGTGCTTAAAAAACAAAACAAGACAAAAGAAAAGCAAAAAACCCAACCTTGCTGGTACCACCTAGGCAGCTACATCCTCTCATAACACTCTGTAATTTGTCTGGGTTTCTTCTAAATTGACCCAGAATGACTGCAATCTGCTTTCCATCATCAGAAAGGTGTGGCTAATTAGTGCTCGGCTCTCCTATTACACTCTCGACCTTGTTTTTAAGGGGAAGAAGGCAGGAGAAAGATGTGGGCTTTGGCTCCAGTCCTCCAAGGCTTTATGGAATGCATTTCCCATTCACTATCCACTCCGGTGCTTAAGCTAGGCTGGAGAAGCAGAGCTGTAGCCTTACCTTAGTGAGAAAACGCTTTGTTAACGCTCAGTGTGTCTTATTTCATAGATCACAGAAATGGAAAAGTGCAGCTATGTCATTGAGTTTATTGCTTTTGTCCAGCCATGAGAAACGTGCTCATCTGCGTCCTGAATCCCTTATTAGTGTGAAACCCCAAAATGGAATAAATAAATCCTTTTCTTCAGAAACATGACATTTGTGATCGCAGAAAAAGTGGAGGAGTAGGTGTGGTGCTTCGACCAAGGGGAGCGATCAGAATCTGGTTTTTGCTTGCAAAGTGCGCAGTCCAGTTGAAGAGACGTAATCCTTTAGGGATCAGGTCTGCTCTGAGTCTTGGCTCCCTGGGCCTTTTCCTCGTCAGGACACCAGATAAAATACAGATGTTCTTCGCAAGAAACACAGCACCAGACTGTTTCCCTCTTGTGCTGCCTCTTAAATGCCTGACCGCCAGGCAAACTCATTTTCAGCATTTTGCTTCAGCTATAATTCACGGGATAAGCCCAGTCTGGACTGAACAATTTTCTTCCTAACTCTGTGTCTCAAGTAGGACCCTATGTGCTCTGTGACCTTTGGTGGCTGACTTTGAGATGGTCTCTTGAGTTGCTCTTCCTTTAATTCTATGTGTGAAACTGTCAGAGTAGACAGCAGCAATGGCCACCCTTCCTCTGAAGCCAATGGGAGACCTCTTTCTTGCCTGTATCTGTAACTCTCTGGAGCTCTTGGAATACTTGTCTTGTGTGGCCTCCTTCAGCTGCCATGGTCTCTGCACTGAGAGAACCTCTGAGTAGACCCCTGCTCCCAATCAGAGAGCACCTCTTCCTCTGTGAATCAGATTTTTCTAGCAAGAAGAGGATTTTGTGTTTTAACTATCTTGGACCTTGTAAAGAGGCCCGTGTGAGGAGGCAAGTTCTAAAGATCCAGGGAGGAATGTATACCTGCAGGTCTTTACTCTTAGCATCCCAAATTCTTCCACCCTCCTGCTCCTGGAGACACTCCCCCTTACCTTCCCCATCTGCAGCTGGGGAGGGCAACTTTTTTTGTTTTTTTAGTGCTGGGGATTAAACCTAAGGCCTTGTTCATGTTAGGCAAGTGCTCTACCATTGAGCTACACCCCAGCCCAGGATGTAGGTTTTAAAAAGCAAGCTCAAGTGATGGCAAGTTCTAATTCTGTCAGCAAGAGCAGCTGCATTAGCCTAAGTTCCAATATGTTGGCCTAATTGGGAAAGCCTCCCTTCTGGGTGAAGATTTCCTTTATCAGAAGAAAGAGATACATACACCTGACAGAAGCTATTCTGAAATTTGTGAGAAAATAGTATTTGGACCGTTTCCACCCTTGCTTGGGCCTACTTTATGCAGGTAGAAACTCAAGTGGCCAGACCATCCTAAATCTCCCACTGGCAGGCAAGGACCAACTGTAGCCTCCTACTCTCTCCCTCCTCCAGCCTCCAAGCCTGAGCCTGATTCTCACTCCTCACTCATTGCTCTGCCCAGTGGACCCCTCCCCTCTTGGAAGAACTTAGAAACAGGTGCCAAAGAGGACGGAAATAGAATATGTTGGCTGGGCCCCCTCAAGCTGTCTTTGGGATGCACATACCATTCCAGAACTTGCCATCCACCTGGGCCTGAGCGGGTGGGACACACATCCCCAGCCGCAGCTGCAGACCTTCTTGACAGCTGCTGCATTCGTCATAGCCGAAGCTGGTGCAAGTCTTGCAGGCTTGGTGGCAGGGCTCACACTCTCCCACTTCTTGGTCACCGTAGAAGCCAGGGTCACATTCCTGCACACAGTTGCCACCTTTGGAAGAACACAAGAAAAGGAAGCATGAAGGCAGGACTGGCCAGCTTAGCTCTATTTACCATTCAAAGTCAAGTTCTAAAGAAAGAGGCTGCAGGGAGTCTCAGGAGCTTTTTTTTTTTATTCATTTATTCACATGTGCATACGTTGTTTGGGCCATTTCTTCCCCCTTGCCCCCTGCCCCCTCTCTGTCCCCCCACCCCCTCTCGCTTCCAGGCAGAACCTGTTCTGCCCTTTTCTCCAGTTTTGTTGAAGAGAAGACATAAGCAATAATAAGAAAGACATAGTGTGTTTGCTAGTTGAGATAAGGATAGCTATACAGAGAGATTCCTAGCATTGCTTCCATGTACACATGTGTTACATCCCAAGTTGATTCATCCCTAGCTGACCTTTTCATTAGTTCCTGATCCCCCTCATATTGACCTCTGTCACTTTAAGGTTTCTGTATTAGTTCCTCTGCAGTGGGGACATCAAACACTTTCATGTTTTGGGTTTCCTACCTATCCCCATACCTCCTGTATGTGCTCTCCCCTTGTCATGTGACCCAAGTCCAACAGCATTGCTGTATTTGCCCTAGATCTAAGTCCACAAATGAGGGAGAACATACTTCTTTTTAAATAAACCAAGATGGTATTAGCATATTTCAGTCAAGGAATGTATTTTTATAAACTCAACACTTTATCTAAGTCTTCTTTCAACTGAGAAGCTTTGAATTAAGATCTTAACACCCTTGAAATCTTGAAAAACTACAAATAAAATTGATCTACGAGACCCATTGAGGATCACTAAGAACTGACTGCCTCACACTGTCTTCCCAACATTCAAGAGCACTGGACCACTGGCCCAACAGTTGGAAGACTCACAGAATTTCTTTCCCAACTATCCATTTCTATTAAAGTCAAAGTTGGGTGAACCTAAGACAGAGGATCTTGTTCAACTCTTACAATGCACAGGACTGTATAATGCAAATTAAAGTCTTAAGAAAAGGGTCTTGGTTCTGAATATTCCAGTTGACTTAAGTTCCAAAACTTTTATCTCCATGTTTCCCCTTCTCTCCCCTGCCCCATTTACTCTTATTTCTACCAGCTTGGAGATATTTGAGATTAATTAGTGAAATATGAGCTATGCTTCAGTACAAAATGCAGAAGGAAAGTAGTTCTGGATAGTGTTTATTTTTAAACCAAATTAAAATTCCTCTTTGGACCAGAGATGCCGGTACAAAGACTCTGAAACCAATCACAGGCACACTGGGGCGGGGGTAGGACTGCAGAGCCTCATTCTTTCTCCTTGGTAGACTGTCCGTCTCTGGCTCACCTGAGAGAAAGAAGCCCTCTTCACACCAGTAGCACTCATTCCGGTCACAGTTGCCACAGTTAATGTTGCATGGTTTGCATTCCCATTCTTCACTGAAGGTCTTTTCAGGGCAGGTTTTATAACAATGGTGTTCAAACCTAGGAGATAAAGGTACAAGTTCTTCTATGAGATATGCTGACATCTTTTGCTTACCCACCATAATTTGATCTCCTCTTACATGTCTATGAAGCATTTTTAACAGGAGTGAATAATTGGGTTACAAGAGAGGGAACTTCTACTTGGTCAGTACTGCCCTGCCAAACCAAGTCATTCACCACCTCCTTCTGGACCCTGAGGACCCTCTGTCCTCCAGTTGGGAGGGGCTGGGAAGAAAGGGAGGATTGATTCTGATTTATGGAGCGCTGCTTCTGTGTTAAGTGTCAGCTCATTTTAATCTCTGCTCAAATATCACAGGATAGATATTCCTTATCTTTTCATTTCTAAGCAGGAGAACCAAAGGTCAAGGTTAAATGCTCAAAATCTAGTTAAGGGTGGGACCAGGATTTTAACCAAAGTCTGAATGAACAGATGACTTTTGCCGATTGCTGCACTAGCATTTAGAAGGCGTGAGAGAGCTCAGCACTGAGTACAGTAGCTTTCCCGAACCTCTGCAATGAGATTATTAACAATAACTGAAATGCTTTAACATATACACACACATAGATATCTATATGAATACATCTGTATACATGTATATGAATGCATATATATATATATATATATATGAATTCTTGCATACATTATCCAATATTCTCATCATACAGTAAAATGTTTTCATTAACACTCATTTGAAAGGAAAAGTGGAATGAAGTCAACTCTTGGCCTTTGATGAATTTTGATGTATCAATAAGATATGAAGGGAAACAACTGCCTCTTTCCGTTAACAACTTCTATTGTGCAGCATTTCATTGGCTGTTGTCAAAGGCACTAAATATTCTAAATTATAAATGTGTCTTCCTTGAAGCAAGTATCTCATGTTTCACCCTAGTGTCATTAGGTCATCTGACATCAGGGCATTTCTTTTTTTAGAGGTCGGAAAGATTTTATTTATAGAGAATTTAGTTGGAGAAAAGAGAAGAGAAAGACTGCATATTGGAGAATGCAGGGGGACCCGGAAACCGGTGATCCCAGGGCATTTCTTTCTCAGAGGTTTTTATGGAATGTGCTTTTTGGTGAGCGGTAAGGCTGAGAGGCTGCTCCCATATTTCACAGAGGATGTGCTCAGGTGACAGAGGAAGCAAGTGTAGTTGAGAGGTGTATTCAGGGGTCAAAAAGAAGCAATCAGGGTAGAGTTAAAATGGAGGGATGCAGAGTTCTAAGAAGGGCAAAGAGAAGAATTTCTTACTCCTGTCACTATTGTGCGTGTCTGTGTGTGTGTGTGTGTGTGTCTAAGATCTACTTCTCCATTTCTTCAAGGAACATTTTGTGCCCCAACTATGTGACCTCACCAAGGAATGCCTGCATTTTTGCTTGGGGATCTGTGGCTATATCAACTATGAACATAAATGGCATCTTGGTATTACCCCAAATGTGGAGGCCTCTTCTGCACCACTCCTCTGTTTTCAGGGAACAATTTTTTAAATCAGTGGGTCATGAGTGCAGTGATGGAGGGACACAGGCAATGTAGAGTCTAGACATTCTGGAAAAGTTGGATTTAAACCACAAGAGGAAGTACAGGTTGCACATCCATAACCCAAAAATCCAAACTGTGAAATGCTCCCAAATTCAAAACTTTTTCAGTACTGATATGGTGACATAAGTGGAAAACTCCACTCTATGAAATTTTGTTTCATGTACAGGATTATCAAAAATAATGTGGAAAATTAGCTTCAGGCTATGTGTGTAAGGTGTATAGGAAACAATGAATTCTGGGACAGACTTGGTCCACCCCCAAGACATCTCATTATATATATGCAAATATTTCAAAATCTGAGAAAAATCTGAACTCAGCAACACTTGGGGGCCCAAGCATGTCAGTTAAGGGGTCCTCCATTGGTAATGAAAAGGTCAGCTCTTCACTTTGAGTATGTTTCGACTCGTTTGGCTTCCCTTTCTCTTTCATTCTCTTCACTCTTTTTGCCATCTTTTCATCTTCTACCACGTTCTGAGCTCGTGGAATCTGATAAAAGGGAAGGCTATGTGGTGCCAGGAGGAGGTGACCTGCTGAAGCAGAGATGACCCAGTGTTGACCTGCCACTAGCCTGTGGTACAGCGTTCAAGAAACCAGCACCTCCCTGAGTGCTCCTGGAGATGAGTCCCTGGTCCAGTGTTCCTGACAAACTTGATGAAAGAGAAAGAGAAGTGGGCGTGAGAGCTATGGATCGCAGAACTCCCCCGGCAAGGGAGGGACCATATAGCCTGTGCATCTTCCTGGGCCTGCCTTTCTCTTTCATCTCTCTGCTCTGCTTAGTTTTTCTTCCAGGATAAGCAACAATGCAGGCTGGAAGGGAAAGTAGAAAAGGAGGTGCTGTTGAAACATACCATCTTCCATTTTGCAAATTTTTATTAGAGAGCTTTGGGTCTGATGGTTATCCATGTTTCATTTAACTGGTGGTCTGTGTCTCATCACCCAAGGGAAGATTAACAGCTAATGCAGCACCTGGATCCCCCCCACCTCCCCAAACGTCTGATTCCGGTTAAGGGCATGATCTCCATGGAGACATTTGAACCAAGTGACTTGAGGTTGGATGTATTAGTAAGGTCTGAGTCTTGGTAACCCATGGCAAGATTCCTAGGCACCAGTGTCAGGCTGGGTGACTTCCAGGATCAAGCAAGAGAAGGCCTCCTTTCGAGGCAAGAAAACAGCTGGGCTTTCATTGCTAAATCCAAGAATTGCTCATTAATAGTCCACAGAACAGAGTTGCTTCAGGCTTCAGGGCCTCTCTGCTTTAATCACTGGATTTAGGATTAAGTCAATAATGCTTAAACTGCAGAAAAGTTAGTGTCATGAAAAAAAGGAAGCCAGACTTACATGTAATACCCTACAGCACACGAGGTACAGGTTCCTGGATCATCTGCAAGGAAATTATAATAATGAAAAATTACAATCGCCAGGAATTTGTTATGTGGAAAAAGGGACTTTGGAAAAGTGGTGGCTTGAGATATATAATCTTCTAGGACAGATTTATGAGTTACACTATCCAGAAATGGTATTTGAACAGATTGCACTATTTTTAATTAATGAGAAGTACACCGTGATTTATCTTTATCAAAGATATGAAAATAAGAGAGATCATAAAAACTTGGCCTCAACTTTCAAGGAAGCATAGGCCAAAGCTACTGGGTCTTTAAATTACAGATCAACCACTAAATATGTTAAGAACCCCTGAGCTCAGGGCTGGAGATGTCGATCAGCCCTAGAGCACTGCCTGATGTGCAAGAGGCCTGGGTTTCAGCCTCAGCACTGCAAACAAACAAACAAACAAACAAACCTTTTGGCTTTTCCTGAGGTAGAAGCATCAAGCATGCCCCCCGATGGACACATTTGAAAGGGGCTCTAGGCTTCTGACTCCAAACTATAGATTTCCCACGAGTTTCCCCAAATGCCTGCCACTGTCAGGGAGTGTCTTTTGGGAGCCTTCTTTGAAATTTGGAGAATTATTTTCTCAATACAATCAGCAACTTTTTGTTTTGCATTTCACAATCCTCAAAGAAACTGTCCTGTTCTCATTAAGCGTGATGATTCAATTTGTCCTTGTTTGCTCAGAGAAGGTTTCTTCCTGCAGTTTTTAGGGGACTTAAAGAGATAGGATTTTGAGGGTCACCATCTCAGTCTGATCCCCCACTCCCAATACTACCCAGAAGATGTCAACTCTCAGATCTTATTATTAAGGGAATTCTATCACTTCTCTGACTTGTGATTCTTGCAAATAGCAGAGTTGCCTCAGGTCTTCCTGTCATTTCACCTGTTACCCAGTCCTGCTCTTTCCATTTTAATAATGGATGAAAAACAACTGTTCCTTCTTAGACCATTTTGGTATGTCAGCTTTATTTTGTTTATTTTTTGCAGTACTGGGGCTTGAACTCAAGCTGCATGGTTCTTAGGCAGAGGCTCTAGCACTTGAGCCACTCTGCCAGTCCTGTTTTGTGTTGGGTGTTTTCGAGATAGGGTCTCTTGATCTATTTGCGTGGGCTGACTTCAAACTGCTACCCTCCTGATCTCTGCCTCCTCAGTAGCTAAGATTACAGGTGTGAGCCACAGGTGCCAGGCAGTATGCTATCTTTAACGTCATTGAAACTAAGTAATACTATGTCTTTAGAACTCTGTGTTCAACTGTCTTGTTCAATCTGTTTTGGGCGCTATTCTGGTTCCCTTGAAGTCTGCTTTTTGCAGGACAGAGACAGCTTCACCCAAGTCTTTATTTATTCTTTTTTGGTGGGGGGTGTGGGACTGGGGTTTGAACTCAGAGCTTTGTGCTTACAAAGCAGGGTCTGTACGGGTTGAGCCACACTTCCAGTCCATTTTGTTCTGGTTATTTTGGAGATGGGGGTCTCATGAACTATTTCCCAAGGCTGACCTCAAATTCGATCTCCCAATCTGAGCCTTGCAACTAGGATTACAGGTGTGAGCCACCAATGCCCTGCTGTCACCCAAGTCTTTAGCCACATTTTGTCTTGGATCCTCCCTGGGATGTTACAAGATGACATTACCTTGTCTTGAACATAAGACAACTCATGTATCACACCAAAAGTTATAGTGAGAAGATATCTAGATGAGACTCTGCCATGTAAACAGGGTTCCTCAGAACTTTCTGGAAATAGCCTAGTGATGGTGCAATGCAGAGGGCACTGGCCTGGGGATTAGGTTACTGTTTCTAGCTTAACCCAAGCTTAATTGTCTTGTGAATTTGCATAAATATCACTGTACTTTCTTGGTCCTGGTTTCTGTAGGCATAAAATGAACTGGCTGGACAAAGATGGTTGTTAAGACCCTCTGAAAGTCAAAGATTCCAAAACTGAGGCTAACAGGAGTTCAGAAACCATGGCCTAACTGGGGGCCAAATCCAATCTTGTCCACTCTTCATGTACTACGTATGAACGCATGTTTGCTACAACATCAGCGTGAGTACTTGCAACAAAGACTGAAATGGTTCCTATTGGCCACGCCCTAGAAAAGCTTGCCAGCCCAGGCTATGGCACTATCAACTCAGGACTTTGTTGTGTTTGCATTCGTTAGGTAACACAGGTGTGAGTAGGGTTGTCTTTTTTTTTTTTAATTGTTGTGCTGGGGCTACTTTGTGACATTTACAAAAGTTCTTTCAATATATCACAGTTGAATTCACCCCTCCATCATTCTCCTTTATCCTCCTCCTCCCATTACTGGAATAGTTTCAGCAGGTCTCGTGTTTCCATTTTCGTACACGAGTGTATAATATTTTTACCACATTCATCCTTTCCTTATCTTCTTCCCCCTTCCACTGGTACCAGCCCCCAGACAGGACCTGTTTTACCTTCCTGTTCTTCGTTTTTGAAAAAAGACATTTTTGTTTAAGATAGCTGTACAGGGAGTTTCATAGTGACATTTCCATGTATTTATGTATTATATCCTGAATTGGTTTATCCTCTCTATTTTGTCTTAAAGACAGTTTCAGAGTTCTGTTAGTGAGAGAACCATTTGTATTTAGGAGACACTACAGCTATTGGGAACAGAAGTTTAGCTGAAAGCATTAGAATGAGATTCAAGACAACAATAGAAACAGAAAGGCCCTTCTGCAGGAGGGCATGATTTGCTCATAGAAGGGAAATCATTTTTAATGTCTGAGTCAACATGATTTGTAATAAGGTAACTAAAACAGGGCCATAAAATATACACCAAACCAGGCTAATTAAGCAGGAGCAGGAATCCAAAGGTAGAGGTGTTTGTGAGAAAGAAAGGACCTCTGGCATTCTTAGAAATTCCGGAAGTCTCTGTGCTTCTACCATCTCTAGATTGGGAATCTGAAACCATTTTAAGGGGTGCAGTGGTCCCAATGAACTCCAGGGTTCCACAGGGCTAGTTCATTTCTCACAATGAGTCTATTTTTGAATCTACATTATTTTCAGTTCCTCTCCTAAATGATTTGCTACTACTCAGCTTGCATTTGGGCAGCTTACATATCTGTTTGTCCCTGGTGAACGTATTTGATGCTGATAGTTTTGCTAATTTGGCAAAGGCTTGGGAAAGTCTAATCCTGTTCTGTAATGTTCTGGTCATCCCATCTAGGAATTTAATGAGCTTGCTCTCTGCTCCTTTAAGCAGGTCACTGATGAAAATGCGAAACAGAACCAAGCCTCAGAACTGTGCATAGCAATGTAATCTTGAGTTTGGAGACTTTTCTGGACAGTTGCTGAGTGAATTTGGTACCTTTACAACAATTTGCACAAATGAATAATGCATAGGCCAGGAACTGTGTCTTCTAACAGCTTATGAATGCCCATTAGTTTTTCTCATTATTACCAGTTGTTCTAAAGAATGAGAATTATTAAAAAAAACTTTTCCACCCCAGAAGATCCACAAGTCAGACATGAGCTAAGTGGATTTAGCTTGACCACTGAGAGGCAACTGTTATGGGATTAAGGATGAAGGTAACAATCCCAAACTTAGAAGTTGACTTTAAGTCAACTTGGCATTCAGATGGTAAGGAAGGGTGGCTTAAGGAGAAAGATGAATTTTCCTGGCTTCTAGTGTGTGAGTAGAGAAGTGGTGGTGGGGGGTGGGGAGGGGAGAATTGTTAACTGTCTCAGGAGGTGTTATCCAAAGTAGTATATTTACATAGCTCTGGTTATTTGGTCTTGTCAAACTTTTGAGCAGAAAGAGCATATTTTGACCAGTCAGAATTCAGAGAGAGACTCACACATTTGAAAAAGAAGCCTTTGGAAACAGTTGTTGGGTTCCAGATGCTCACATCCCCCTAAAGAGAGCATGCAAGCAGATTCCTTGTCAAGATGGGGATAAGAACCTTCCTTTCATGAGAAAACTCATTTTTATTTTCTTGTTTTTATGGGATGGGCTTGGCAGGACTACAATGTCCACTTTGTCTTGAGAGTTGCGTGGTCCTCTGGGTCACCTTTCCACCCTGTCCTTGGGAATCTACTGGAGCTCATCTCGAGCTTACTGTCCCAAGGAAACATTGACTCCTGCTCTCAACATCACCCCAGTGGTCAGTGCCATTCTCTTGGGTTGTCAGTGATACATACAGCCTTCACCATTGAATATGGATGAATTAGGGCCACAGTAGGAGTTATGCACATCTTACCTATAAAACGTATTGGAAGGGGAATATTTTAAGTTTGAAATGGAACTAAACATTTAAAGATATCAAGAGAAGGTGAATTGTTTTTGGTACTGGGGTTTGATACAAAAATAAAAATGAATGTGAGTTCTGTTTTTTCCACAGTGCAATGGATTATCTTGACTATCTCTCTTTGTAGGATCTCTCAGACTACACCTAAACAAATGCCCCTTTGAATTCATAGTTAGTTATGAAAGGAAACATTGTACATTTGGTTTCTTAATGCTAGAACTAGAAGGGTGGCTTTCTAATGGAGTCACTCATCTGCATGTAGGGAAGGACTTCTTCTGCACTTTGCTCTTGCTTATTTAGAGCTGACCATTTGATTCTAATAAGCTGTTCACTAGCATTTTCAGGTAGGAGAAAAGTGGAAAATGGAGCTGTGAATGAAAAGGTTTGAAAGATATGATCAGTTTCCACCTTTTCCAGCTCTCCGTCACCCTCTGAAGTTTTAGTACATACAATGGTTCCTCAGAACAAATTTTCTAGATGGGAATGACGAGTGATCATGTTCCAACAAACCACAACCTTAAATTCACCTGTCAAAAAAGATATGTACATTTATAAAAGATGAGTGAGTAGACAGTCATCAAAATTGTTTCCAAGAGTATTTAATGGCATAGAAATATTTTCATGACAGACTAAGTGAAAAGGATGATAACCCATAGCTATGTGTAGGTATCTAGTATGTATGTATACCTAGCTATACGTCTATAGACATGGCTTTGTCAAAAAACAGAAGA